CTGTTTGGACCATTCTTTGGGCTCGGTTTGACACTTTTGTTGGGCATGATTTGGTTGGGGTCTTTTTTTAATTCCTCCTCTTATTGGGCTCCTCCTAAGATTTTTATTGGTAATCAAGTTTGTCATCCAAAAATTCATGAATTTCAATATCTAACTCTACGTAGGAATGTTTAATTTGAGCGTTGTCATGCCTTATGGGATGAAGGTGGGTTCGGTCCTAGTGATCTATAATAGCTTGTCCATTCACTCTCTTATGTATATCAAAGGCAATGTAATGGCAACACCTATGGTGGTTTCCTTTTTGTTGCATTGGTCGTGAGTCTTACTTAGTGTTTGCTGCCTTTGTGGCCTTCTTCTTTGCCCCTACCTGTGAGCCTTATTGTTGTGATTTGTGTTGAGGTTGGTTGGGATTTAATTTGTTTCTCATTTTATCCTGGCCATGAGCTTTTTCCTATGGTCTTTTTTATGTTAAGGGTGGTTGGTTTAGGCTTAAATGTGTGTGGCTTTTTCCTCTTGTTATCCTTACCCGTTGGCCTATGTTGTGGTGGCTTTTCTCTTTTGATTGCCCCTACCCGTGAGCTTATTTTGTAGTGTCTTTTCTCTTTTGATTGTCCCTTTACCCGTGAGCCTTAACTTTGTAACCTCTTCATGAAATATGTTGAGCTGGTGGTTCCCCCTCTACTGGTTAATTCCTCTTATCTTGTGAAATATGAAAGGTTCTTGAAACTTTATTTTGGGAAATCATGAAGTCCATATAAGTTGGATTCGTGGATGGATTTGAAAGCTTATAAAAAATGTTTGGAAAGGCAATTTCAAAGTTTGGATAATAGAGATATCATATTTAGGTTCAAACTTGGACAAGTGAGTTCATATGAGTGATGGAGCTTATGAGTACATTGTTATGTTAGTCTTGAGCCTGCTTCAATCTATTTGAAATAAAGCTTTGGAAAGGATACCCTTCACGGATTAATCCAATTATAAAAAATTTTTGAGAAAGTGATATCCTTTTTGAATTGATTCAAGGATTTTGGGCTCTCTCGTAGACTACTTTGATACAGTTTTGAGGATTGCTTCACCCTTTACTCTTTTGATCTTTTGGGTGAATCAGTTCCTCCTCTTTCTCATCCCCATTTTATTCTTTTTTTTCATTCCTTCTTGGTTCGGTTTTCTGTGCTTATGTCCAGTACATAAGTGCTCATGTATAGCCTTTTGCTATACGTGAAGCCATCAAGCAAGATCGCAAGTAGGTCGGTTTTATTTTGGAGCTTAAGGCGATGATAACAAAGGCACGTCGGTGATATGGCAGAATGATATCTCATCCTACAACATCAGGACCCAATCCTGGGACCTGATGAACTGTAGGATGAAAGTATCATTCACCGATATAAGACTAACGGGGGACCAGTACCTTCTTAGAATGTTGGTGATCCTACGTCCGACGGTGTAATAGACTCGTGGACAACTATTCTTTCCAAAACTGATAAGAACAGATATAATATTTATAAAAAATATTTTCACTACAAAAATTAATCCAACTTTCCTTTTGTATGTCTGAAATCTATATGCATGCCAAAAATAATAGATTTCAAATATGTATTACAATTTGGTTGTCCACCTGTTAATCACTTGTTTTGGGCTAACGAGTACCCTCCCAAGTTAGGTTTAGTAAGACATCCTTCTAGTAGAGTGTCGGGCTTTATACATCAAGGTGGTCGGGTGGCCTTTGACGTCCCTCGAGTACAAATATATTTGAGCCTAGGGCCAACCCAAGTGCTTGCGGTCCCCTATTTTTGGATTTTTTGTATGTTTTATCAGAATTTTTGGAAAAAGCATTCGTGGTCTTTTCTTCAGGATTTCTCCCAAGGTTTTGATAGTTTTATTTGAATTATTACTCATCAATTTTCCCGAGTTTTCCATCGTGAATTATTTATCGTGGATTTATTCGTCGATTTTTTCGAAGTTTCCAAACAACTTTTGTTTAAACAGTGAATGCTAGCTAGCTTAAAGGAGCAGCAGACCTCTCAGATATACAGGTTTGATTTACATTATAGCATTTTATTTCATAGCATATTTTACTATTCTCCTGACATGTATATTGTTCTCCTAGCAAGTTATACTATTCTCCAGCATGTGATACTGTTCTTTTCCTTTTACTGCACACTCTACTGTCTCTTTTTTTATATATGAATACTACATGGTATATTGCTTTGATACTCACTATACCTTAGTATAGGAAAACCTAGTAGTTATATAAGAATTAACACTAAACCCGGAGGTGCTACGACGAAAAGCTTGGAGCGAACACGGTGGGCAGCACGACAAGGAACAACTTCAAAATGGATCTAGAATATCAAAACACATTCATAACACTGATCACTTTCCTTAGTTTAAATAACAACACATAGAAGTTCGAGGTAGTTTGTCTAGTGCAACGTAAACCCTCACATATCTCATTTAGGCTTTTGCACAACTCTGATTGTGCAATTATAAGTCCTAACGATTTAGAATTCCGAGGTTACCGTACGGTACGGTGTAAATCCTTCTGTCGTACGGTACGGTGTAAATCCTTTTAGGTTTTTAGGCTATTTGCACGATCAGATATCATGCGAATATAAGTCTTAAATTCTAAAATAAATTGCAGGATTAAAAGATTAAACAACATTATTTCAAAGACAAAGTCAAACAATAAATTGGGAAGTCACCGGGGTTCTTCCTAGATCTGTGACGTCCTTTACTTTTCGTTCATTTTGATTCTTTAAAATAATTGTTCCTATTTTGAGTTACTCTCATTTGATTTTTCTATATCAAATCTTGGAAACCTAAACTTTAAAATTTTTAAGGCAAAATCACTGATCTTAATCGAGAGTTTTCTTACGTGATCAGATGTAATTAACTATGGGGGCTTGCCTCTATAGGGAACTTGGAACCCGGATAAAATAAACCCTATCTAATCCTTATGTTAGATAGGGGAACTTGTTGGTCTTATATAAAATATTTCGCATACCAAACGGATGTCACAAATTCTTTAGTTTAGGTGATTGAGTTCCTACTACAAGTGATATGTTTATTCTTCGGAATAAATGTATTACTTGTGGTATCGCACTCATTCATCCAAACTATCCAAAAATGTGAGACTCGTTTGGTCTCACCTATTCTAAAATTAAAATGTTACCTTCAAAAATTATATCTATATTTAAATTATTTTCATATCTACAAAATTACATCTTTTTTTCAACAAAAATCATTAATGTTTAAAGTTTTAAAATTAAAATTAAAACGGCCGACACACCCAAAAGTAGTGATGTGTGATGCCCTTAGCTCCTCCCATGCATGAAGATGTCAAATGTGTGAGCCTCCCACTATTCTTGACCTTCCTCTCAACTCTTCTTTGTCCATATCCATCCACTCTACATCTTGATCCATCCAATGCTAACACTTCGACCCTCAACATTTACAATTCTTCATTCAAGGTTCATATCTCTTCTTACAATGGAATCAACATTTCGCACAACGCATGACCCCTTGCTTTCATTTCCATGTTGTGTCTCCCTCTCAGCACAACGCATTGCTACCTTTGTCCACTCCTCACAACCATTTATCTCTACATCTTTCTCATTCTTGCTCCCATCAAGGATGCCAATAGTATGTTTTCCCAATCTACCATCATTTCTCTCACATTAAACCCACTCATGACCCTAATCTCTTTTGCACTTTTCTTCCTCTTTCAACACCTCAACAGTTGCTCTAGCTATAAATAGTAACGTACATCCACAACCTCCCAACCCAAAAGCTTCAACACTCAACCTCTGGCTACAAACCAATTTTGTCACATGTATAGAAATGGCATGACCACCGACTCAAGCATAACACCAACTACATCGGCTACAACATATATAATTTATGTAAATCATGCTCACCCCATTATGGTATATGTCAAGGTCACTCATACCATTATAACATATAGTAGAGCAGTAGAACAAGCATAATAACCTTCTTAATATAAAGAATATGCAAAATTTATGGAGAGATGTTGTCCGTTCACAAACTCAATGAAGGCATGTATTAAATCTCCTCACCCAAACATGCATATATCTACTCGCAGCCATTTCCATGACATGAATAGTGCCTCACACTAACATGACACGTGTATCTACCCTCAACCATTTCTATGAAATAAACAGTGTCTCACAATACCATGGCACCTACAGAGGCAAACATCATTTCTTGACATAATAAAACCAAAGAAAAATGAAGAAAGACACAAAAAAGAGAGCAATTTTTTGAAATCAATCGGAAGATAGACTTGTCTCTCTCTATCATTGAACAAACACTCAACTCAATTAGTATGTTGAAAGCATTCTCACATGTTGCAAGCCCCTTACGTTCCAAATTGGCTGCATCTTCTAAAAAAAAGCCTAAGATGTGATACCAAAGGCAAGAAACTATTCATCCACAAGCGTTGAGAACCTAGGACACTTTTTACCAATGATAGATTCTAGAGTCACCATCCCCACTTGGAAAAACATCAAAGCGTTATGGTGAATTTAAAAGGTACAATGAAGGGACAATCTTTATTTTTTTTTTTTTTTTTTTTTTTTACAGGTACCCATGCAAAGCTTTAGAAAAGAAAAAAGAACCTCTTCTCCCAAATCTATAAGATCCTCCAAGATATTAATGGGATCAGGGGAGCTAGCAAGCGAACTAGAAACTCCTAGCAAGTTGATGTCAAAGACAAAAGAAGGTATCTTTAAGATGAAGAAAGTGATAGGCTTCTCAAAAAACAAAAAAAATAAAAAAAAAAAAAAAAAAAAAAAGAAATAAAAAAAAGCTTCAAGATAAGACTCACACTCCGAAATAATCAAATTTTGCGACACCAAAAAT